GCTGCCCCCCCTGGAATTTGGAATTTTACACACCACACCCTCCCCCCTCGGTAGCTTCGCCCCCTCCGCTTACCGCTTACTGCCCCCCCCTGGCATTTTGCTCAGGCTACGGCCCTGCAATACAAAGACACACATGCACACACATACACTCATTGTACATAAACACACACTAAATACACTGTACATACAAGCACATTTACACATAGACACAGACTGAAAACAAACACATTAAAATAGATAATATGGTCATAAATAAAGGCAGCTTCTGTTTGCCGTATCATTATGTGGATTTTTGTATTTCTTTTTACTTCCTTTTTTGCCTTCCTTTATTAAAAGTGTCATGCATATAAAAATATGTGGCCCCTTTGACAAGGGTGTGTTTGAAGTATATTTTCTGTTTTGTCTTGCCAGTACTTACTTCTCCCAGACAGAGACCCGTAAGGACTGCCAATAACGTGCTGAATGGATTATGTTCCACGATAGCTGCTCCAATAAGCGTCCCGATGAAATTCCTTAAATGTAAATAAAACATTGAAAGGATTGTTTTGTAGGATGTAAAGATATTCAGAATTGAAGGTTTATATTGTCAAGCTTTAAGCTACTGTTCTGTCCACTGAATTACGGTTGTAAATAAAAAAATAAAAAAAACACCAATGTATTTTTTAATGGCGCGCATACTGCAGATGGCGTTAAGTTATTCCCGGTGTATCTGTAGCTCTTTCCACATTAACTCTCTTAACTAATTCAAAAAAAAAAAAAAAAAAAAAAAAAAATCATAATGAAAAGAACCACACAAAATCTCACCCAAGGCCCATAGACGTGTCAAATACTGCTGACAAGTTACCATATGTGATTATATTATCGGGTAATCCGTGGAACCTGTAACAATATTAAATATATTGATATATTGATATATTGTGTATATAATCTCAACTATTACAATAAAATGTGAGAAGATCGAGTACACGAACCAACTCAATGATAAGTGACATGGCGAACACAACAATGCATCAAAAATGCTCAACTAACAAAATAAGAACGTGATAATAAAGAAAATAAGATTGTTCGCCATTCTGAAACAGAAAGGAATAAATCCTTTTATGATTTTATTATTTATTCATATTAAAAAGGAATGATTTACTCAGTTTTATTATCATGTGGAAGTTTCGCACCCTGCTAAATGAATGTTTGGTGATGAGTTTTAGAATCTCAACTAGCACAATGAAAGGTGACAACAGTATTATATAAGACAAGACAAAGATACGGTGAAACATGCTCCACTAACACAATGAGACGTGAGAACTGTATTGGCGCACGCAACAATACGTCAAAACAAGCTCATATAAAACAAAAAGAAATAACCGACAGATTCCAATATTATAGCATATCTATAAATCTGAAACAGAGTGGAATAAATTATTTTTTTAATTTTGTAATTTATTTATTTAAAAAGAAAGGTATAAAGCAGCCAGTTTTGTGATGGTGTAAAGAAATATTCAAGAGTGGAAAACCAAGCATAAGGCCCAGTAACTAATCTTACCTCTTTCACGATTTTCGTTTCACAATCCGCCATGACGGCTACAGAACATCGAAAAAGGGAATTATAATTCTACATAACTGACACGGCCTACAAAACAATATTTTTTCTAATAATACTCAACAGTGAAAAATGGGGCACAAGACCCTCACAAATCATCCAACTTCTCGACGTCCGTTACAAAATTCGCCATGACAGCTACATTGAAATAAGGTGTTCTAATTCCACATTACTTACACGGCTTCATTTACACAATCCGCCAAGACAGCTACATTGATACAGGCGGTCCCAATTCCACATAAACATCGTCCCAAGAAAACTCCCCACGATGCTCTGAAATCCAAAATGTACAGTATCACTGGACCCATACAGAAAAGCTTTTAGCTGATCTTAAATGTTTTGGAACGAGGCATAGACTACTCGCGACATGGGAGGGGGTCAGTCTATTTTTATAAAGATGTAACTTGCTGAAAATAATTGTCAACCCTTGAGAATTCGGGTTTTTTTACTGACGGCATAGGTTTAAAAAGCCACACATATGTTGCAATTTTGTTTTTTTTTTTATTTCCCAGAAACCAATGACCATTTTCATTACCTGGGTCAAGTATGAACACATGTCAACTGATGTTGCCACAAAGTTTAGGGTACTAGCTTGGTTATATAAGGGGTGTTTCCGAAGCTGAGGTCGGACCTCCACTAAACTATAGCTAAAGCCATACCAGGTAAACTCATGTTGTTTGTAGGACCAAATAACTGCATTCAATGAACTGGGCTTCAGGAAACCCAACATTGCCAGATAGCTTTGGGTTTCAAGGCCACATGTTATTAGACTACTCTCTACCCCGAGAAGAGGTCCGGCCAGCAGTGTAGCTTCTGACAGATTCACAATTTGGCACAGTTTCACCTCAAGTCCTGTTCGTATTAACATGAACATTGCCAGAAAAACCCACACGAAATCTGCCATTGTCATTCCTACAGAATCATGGGCCCATCGTTTGATTGGCCTTTTCCGCAAAATTTTGAACTGGAAATTCGTCTTACATGGCAATATGCCAAGAAGGAAGGCTAAGACACCTATGTAAACACGTTATCATAGCGTTATTTACGGCTACCCAAACTCAAAACAGAAACCTGAGAGACGTGCATTGGGAATACATGGTCTTCCTAGCTGAATCCCTGTTCCTACTCTACCCATGAGATGGCCGTGTGCGAATGTGTCGTTTTACTGGAGACCATAATTTAACAAGAAATTGAAAAAACTCAAGGCTGCTGGGTGCTTTTGGTTCCCTCAGTGACAGGCAATTGGTTCTTCTTGAAAAAAAAAAGAAAAAAATGCCATCGCCGTGGCGTACATGTACAGGGAAATCTTACAAAATATGTGCGTTCAATACATCAGGACAACTTCCGCTTCCAGCATGAAAATACAACCTCCTTATATACTATATACTGCCCGCCTGGCGAGGGATTTTTTAAACAAATTCGACAAACCCTGTATTGCTTATGGACCAACCCGCCAAAAAGCGATATATGAATCTAGTTGAACACCTTTGGGGCGGATTTGGGAAGGCTGTATACTGGAGAAATCAACTCCTAGAAAATGCACAACAGTTAAAGCCAGCTTTGACCCAAGATCCATAAACAAAGATTGGTTGCACTAGTGAGCACCTTGAGGCCACGTAGTAGGCCTTTTTCGTTCACCGGGGGGTCACACCCGCTACTGAAATTATTAATTGTGTACCTGACTAAATTCAGAAATGTGACTGAAATCTTGAAATTGATTGTGTTTTCCATGAAGAAGCTTTTTGTTTCTTTTGCATGTTTTTCAGCCTTTGTAAATGCAAAGATAACAGAGCCCTTAAATGTAGACGTTTGTGACCTAATCCATAAACTTCATTAGTTGTGACAAGTATTTCGAACAACACTGTATTTCATTTTTGTTTCTGGAAATAAAGTCATCAATTACAACATTGTAACATTTAGCACAGCAACAATATATTTTAATGAAATGTCTTCATGATCCTGAAGTTATGGCATTGGTACCTACCCCTTGCCGTTTGGGAATAGGTGATTGAGGGGAACCCAGGGTCCAATGAGAGTTAAGGCTACGGCCATGACGATGAGTCCCAAGATTATCATTACCTTACACTGATTCTATAAGAAAAACAGTACATTTATTTTATATATTTTTGGAAGTTTATACTCATTTGTATGCTTTGGAACTACAGTTATTTTGTGAAACTTTCACCAGGTGAGGTATTAACTTTCGTCGTTATTATGCGACTTTGAAACAATTGAAACATATTACAAAAAATCAATAATAATAAAAAGAAATTAAAAATAGATATTAAAAAGAAAAACAGCTTACGTATTTGTCTGTTATGAAACCAAACAATAGTACCGAGCACGTGTAAAAGGTTCCAGTCAGAGAAAACGCCAAACCGATCATCATATGATTGCCTTGAACAGAGGAACCTACCTGTAAACACGACATTAAAAAATGATATAACACATGCGGTAAAAAACAATAAAATAAAATAAAAATAAAAAATAAAAAATATAAAAATTGGAAGTGTATATTCAATTCAATGACCCCATGCATGGGCATAAAGATATATTCTTCTAATATGTTTTGTTTTTGAGAACTGAAAATAAGATCGAATCGATGACGAGGGCAATATATACATGTAGATGGACCTTTAAGATAATAGCGTCAAAAATTGAAACATTTCTTGAATACCCCACGATGCAAAAAGACGTAATGGAAATTGATTTAAAAGCAGAAAACATGTTCCTTACTTTTTAGTTACCCACGTTTCACAATAACGTAATTATAAAGTATCTTTTCACTAGCATTAGAAATACAGTGCCCTTGTATTCAAATATCTTACATTCTGTAAATGGCCTCCTAGCGTGGGACTTAAAGCACTTAGCCCAACATATCCTACCCAAACGGCTAATTGCTCCAGAGGTATGGCGGGTATCTTTGCTATTTTAATAAGCTGTCCGTAGTCTGTTGGCGTATCTGTGAATAAAATGTAAAATAATTGATATGGAATTAAATTTCAGACTTCAGGGAGGTGATGGAAGTGGGAATTATGATGTAACACTAGCATGTTATTTTTTGCGTGCACTGTTTATATCTCCATACATACATGTACTGGCGAAGTGACGGTGATTATGATCCACTATTTTCCTTCATATTTATCCACCAATCTCCTAGCTCTGGAGGCTTTTAGTCGCCTACATGCATGTTGTAAGGCTGTAAAGTATTTTTTCTCTTTTCTTTTGACATTATTTTAACTTCCTCTACATGTATGTTAATTAGTTCCCCTTCATGTCATGATCAGTGGGTTTTGCTTGCGTCACGACAATTTATGGAATAAATTGTCTTTTGCCTTCTTTCAGAACTTTATCTTTTGTTTTCTTTAACGTGCATGGTACCCCTAATAACTGCAGGTACGTGGTCGCAATTTGAGGAAAGAATTGGTGACACCCAGTCTAACAGCTAGACATTTTAATTTTTTCACAGCCAAGTTAGTAAATACTAACTGTAACAAGTTACCTTGCTCCTCAATCTCAGTTGGTAAAGTAAAAAATGCCACAGCTGCTGTGATGATCATCAGCGGCCCCGACACGTAGAACGGCAGGCCAAAACCTCCCAGCTGATAGAGGCTGCCACCTACCAAGGGGCCCAAGACGTTACCGAGTCCTGCACACATTTCCAAGAATCCCTAGCATAAAAATGACGGGATAATATTATTGATTCATACATGCTTTTTCAGAAATATGTGCTGTTGAAAAAAGACCTTTATACCAGTATAAAAGAGAATTTAAAATGTCTTGACTATAAGTTAAAATCATTTTGAAACTCAATGCAAAAGTGAATATGAAACTCGACTGTAAAACCACTTCAGTGCATGCCTACACGGTATGTGAAGAATAGATCTAACTCATGCAATATTAAGTATTATTATTATTATTATTATTATTATTTAATTAGTATTTTTCTCTAACGATGTAAATTAAGTTTTGTAATTATAAGTAGCATCAATGAGCATAGGATTGTCGTCTACTCACATACGCTGTTGCTACGTTGTCCCTAAACTCCTTCGTTGCTAGGGCATAGTTGGCTGCGAAAGACATCGACGCACCCAATGATTCCATCACGCGTATTGTTATAGCAAGCCCAAGAAAAGTGTCACCGGGAGGGCAGGCATCTAAAAAACTAAAACATAAATATTTAACAAGTAAGATTTATCTAAAGTATGGTAATCTTTAATGGATATAAAACTGTGGTTCTTCTGTTATGATTTGTAGAGCAATCAATCAGGAAATCCATTGCAAAATTTGTTGCAGTTGTCATTCTCGTTGATTGATACGTTTCCCACGCTTTATGTGTCAATCAAACATTGAGCTTCGTGCGCAGTTTTGGATAGAATATACGTTATGTGAAGGGAAGTTGCTAAGATTCCATTTTGCTATATGAAAGTTAACCGCCCATTGTAGGTCTATAATCAAATGTTTAATCTTAAAAAAAAAAAAAAAAAAAAAAAAAAAAACGCGACAAAAAAGCGTAATATCGACAAAAAAGTTACGCACCCAAAAGCCAGCGAACTGACACCAATTACCAGTCCTCCTATGTAGGAACAGCGCCTCGTTCCTATGCGAGATAACTAAAACAAAACACGAATAACTAATTTAAAGTACTTGAATTTGCAGTTTTTATCAAGACAGTATATCTGTTTTATCAATTTGCAATACCATTTAGAAAGATAATTCTCCAGAAAAACAGTTTATTGAAAGTCAGGTGGGATACATATACATATTATAACGACGAAGAGGATCTGGAGTCTTCAATCATTTATTCACCACTTAATTTTCATACAATTTTACCCATATTTAAACTCTAATTCTCCGTACTGATCACGCATGTAATTATGTTCTTTTTATTGTTTATGGCGTGATTTCCAGAAACTTTCCATTGTCATGTTTACTTTACCATAGAACATTCCCTTATTAGGTAATGTCTAAGAACCTTGTTTTCAACTAAACTCGTTATCATGTTAGTTATCATCTGATAAACAGTTGATCAAAATTAAAATCTGTTATGAAATTAACCAATCACATTAAATGTTATTGACTTTGACCTTTTCCATCTTCTTCTGACACTAAAAACATGTTCTACACTTGTTGACACTCGATGAAGCTTAATTTGCACTCAATATCACTCTAACTTTTCATCTATTTGATTTCCCTTTTATTACTAATTGTAATGAGTGTAAGGGTAAGTAATTAACTTTACAACATACATATAAAATTAATATATATTAATGCAAATTAAGATTATAAATTTGACTTTATAAATGAAAACAAAAAAGATGGCAGTGGACTGTAAAGCAACCAACAACACCTGTGAACCAATAATAAGGGAACAGCAGAACATGGCGACCTCATAACACCCAAGGATTGCCCCTGCTCCTGTTAGAGACACGTCCTTCTTTATTGCCTGAAGAATAATGTTAATAACGCCATTTAACCTAAGAGAAAGCGCTCTTGTCCATAACGCGCTGCTATTTCTAAATGTATCGTAGGCTGACAAAAATACTTATATAACAAAAATTATCGATGTATCCTAAGAGATAATGCTGGTGCATGGCCATCAACTTAGTTATTCTTCACTTTGATGCGGATCGTTAACTGATAAAAAGAGTCGAGTAATATAATACAGTTTATAAATACCTCATCTTTAAGAAACATAATGTGAACATGAAGTCCGTTTAATTTCTTTATATATATATATATATATATATATATATATATATATATATATATATATATATATATATATATATATATCGAGGTTTAAAATGTAACAAATGTTTATCATATGATAATGGTGCATGGAAAGTTTTAACTTTTAAAAATAGAGTTTTAAAAATAGAGTCCCTTTAATAAACTAGTGAAAAATAAAAAAATGGCTTTCAGGATCATACACATATCATGGGGGCTTGGTAACTACATCTATGAACAATCTTATGACAAAAAAGAAAAAAAAAACTCAAACTATTGCCAGTATTGACGTAGTGCACAAACTTAGGCAAATATGATGACAACGGACGATAGTTGGCAGAATTATGGTTAAATTTCTGGTTGTTTTCTATTTTAAGAGAAACTTAAAAGTTATAAAATCCACTGTCTTTCGCACATAAGTTTACAATCACTATGTTTTACATGATACATACCTAGGGATGTTATGTGACCGTGGCGATATACTGATTACATCTGATCAGATGAGTCGCTATTTACCAAAAGAACCATTCATTTGTCACTCACCATGTCTTGGAGAAATGGCATCACAAGAGTGTAGCACACGGATAAAATAATGTTGGCAAGAGCCCCGTTAATTAAGGTAGATTTCTGCCGGGAGCTCAAATTGAGAAACTTCATGGCCTCACGCTTTCCCTCCTCCTCATTCTCGATCTCTTGGCATCCATTTGCCATCTCTACCCAATAGCCAAATGCAACATATTTCCTTCGATGTCATTTTCTTGCTTAACTGTGCAGAGCTCCGTAACTCGAAAGCATCGCGGATTGCGAATAGCGATATCACATAGAGGCTACAGTGTATTATATGGGGCTAGTATGGGCGAGTTATGGAATCGAGACGCTTGCGCTCGGTCGCAATGCGCGATGCTTTCGAGTTATAGGCCCAGGATCATAAATCATACGGCGAAGTCCATAATGTTTAATGCACTGCAAGAGATAATACTGCTATAGCAGAATTTGAATCCACCGGTCTCAGTCTCAGTTTGAGTCGTCCCGCGACGCTGCAATTTAATCATCTTTAATTACAACTGATATTTTGCAGAGGGTAATGATATTTTAGTCTTTTTGTACATTTGTCAATAAAATTATGCCGTTTTTATTAATATATACATACAACTTTTTCTAAAAAGGTGGATTGACGTTTTCACGTTTTTCCTCAGTTGCAAAACGCGGTTCTGCAGACTGTCCAGGGGTGTGATGAAACAAATCGTCGGACGCTAACAATAGGTCCCCATACCTAGATCGATCTAACATGATCTCTGAGGGGTTTCTCGCTTTCAGCTTAAGCGGCCTAGATACCTGGCACTCCTACTGAAGCTGCTAAACGATAATTAATTACCCCTAGCAGTTTCAATAGCCATGTTAGACATCTAAGCCGTTTAATGTTGGTTGCAATTTAGCGAAAGTCCCCTCGGGGATTGATCGATCCACAGTTAGTACGATAGGGTCTGGGAATGGTCCCTAAGATTGTTTTACGACTGGCGAACCTACAGGTATGTTAAACCACTTTATCACCTCTAATTTCACATATTCTAATTTTGTCATTCTTCAAATTATCTTTGCTATATATCACTCTCTTCATTCACCATGACAAGTTCATGGGGCAGAAGATCAGATATATTTTATGACGTATGCCTGAGTGCAATATTTCTACTATGAGTCTGGACCTTGAGGGAATCTTACACTGTTATCCTATTGATTAAAGCAACTGAGCAGTATTTACTATATCTATTGTAGAATTGCCTTTGTACCCCCGTAACATTGGCCAGTAAAATGTGTCAATTTCTGTAGCGTCTGTGTTTTTTTTTTTTTGTCATTTTTTTAAAATTCACTATTACCTTAAATATTGAGTGGTCTTGTAGTGTCCTGTAGATGCTATTTGTAATGCACACGATGTAAGTAGGGTACGCGACAGCCCAAAAAATACTAAAATGCCAGGACACGAGATGTTGGGACTCAGGTCTAATTTGTATCATACCGATTGTCCACCAAGGTATGAAGGGCAGACACCTCATGGTTTTGCTGACTAATGTAAACTAAATTGCCAGAGTTGGAGTTACCAACTTTCGAAGGGTTATTTGTTACATTACATGTATACGGGCATCATACCAATCAAACTGCACTACAAATCCGTACTCCTCACAATTACTAAGTGGGACAGAAATTACAGTCACAAATTCATAAGGAATTATATCCATTGTTCAACTATGTGACACAGAGAAATTGATCTCCAACAGCTACACCTGAACGAAACGAGATTTTGGCCGAAATGTGGACTCAGTTATCCGTCATAATCAAAGTGTCATAGAGTTAGAGCTACAGCTCATATTTCAGAAACACCATTTCTGCCCTAGCGATTTTGATAAATATCATAAGACAAAATGCACTCAAGTACTCAACATTTAAGTAAAAATATGAAAAACACTGGGGGTAATCCAGTTGGTTTGGTGAGGTAGAGGCCGGAAAACGCCACTTTTATTACATGTACATTGCGTAATATGGGGATATTGCCATTATGGCCCAATTTTGTATTTGTTTTGTATTTGATTTGTATTTGATCTGTATTTGCTTTACATAAAAATCAATGGGAACTGCTTAGCAAATTTAAATGACTATTGAATTTAAATATTAAAGGACAGGATAAAAAATATATATTGCAATTTTCAGTCCACAGTATAGAATAAATGGAATATAAACCTGTGACGCGCCACCGCTGCAGGGACCTAACAACTAAATCTCGGAGCCGAGATTTAATCCGTTTAACGTTTCTCTGTCCATAAAAAGCCAATTGACACCAGTGTACAACTGTGAGGAGTATGTGACTGATATCAAATTAACTTTTAAGGGCTCATTCTCATGGACATCAACAGTCTACGTTGATTGATCAAACCGTTCACCCATCTGTATTCCTTAATCGGCCATTCACACATCCATGCCCTTAGGCATCATTCATAATAGGGAACTTACTAGCTCGAGAGTCAAATATGACGACCCAATACATGTACAAAGCTTGTCGTTGAATAGATATCCCGTGGTGAAGTATTCGAGTAGGTCAGCCATATTTTGACTCTCGGACTAGTTAGTCCCCTATTCTGAATGGGGCCCTAATCAGCTCTAGTGTCTACTATCTTGTTAAAGTCCACTGAAGGCATGTGATAAACTCACTCATTTACATATTATGTTTATATAATTCGCCAGCATATTATCTTTCACCTTGCTTCAATCTTAAATGAATATTCATCATTCTCTGTATAGGTATGCCTGGGGCAAATGCACATCTTAAATCTGATAAGTATAACTATTGCATGGCAGTTAGTATTTAAAATCAGTTGCTGCAACTGTGGCATGCAGTTAGATCCCCTGTAGATAATGTGTATAAATGCTGAATGACTTAATAAACACACTTAAGATTTGGAACTGAACATGTGAGGTTGTTGTTATATTCCCTCTCCCCTGCATCAGTGACAAGTGAAATTTGAGAAGAACCTGGTAGGGAGAAACATGACCCATATAATCTGATGTAAATAAATATTTTGCTTGTTGACCTGTCCAGTAAGGTGACAGCGCACTTGTGCATAAGAAGACCGGTTCTCTTTGGTCTGCTTTTAGAACATGGAAGGACGGTGTGACAAGACCGAAGGAAAGAGAAGGGTTAAGGAAAGGAAATTCAATGAAGGAATGAAATTCTTCAGGCTGACTTTCCAACAAAAGTCTACTTTGATGAACGGCGCTCTGGCCAATATTGCTTTAAACGGGTGTTATTCCATAGCACAGTCATTTATGCGAGATGAGGTAAGTGATTTTTAGTCTTTGAGCCATTTTCGATTTTCTTTTTTAAAAAAGAAGAAAAATGGGGGTCATTGGACAGATCACTGGACGAACCAAGCCAAAGAACTATGCATTCTGCCTATGGCAATAATGCTCATCCAAAGCAATGGAAACTTGGGTACTCTTTTGCTGAACTGATATTTTATGTAAGCAAGTTGGATGTTGTTATTTATTAGATACTGTATATTTGAAGAATTGCCCTAGAAGACATATCAAAATTGCATGGAGACCATCGGGTAAATACTAGAAATGAACCAAAGTACACAGCACCATGCGTATCCCACTGGTGCCCATTCAAATCAATAGGAAAATTGATATTTTTGACCAAGGCGATTAACAAAATTGCGCAAACAGTCGTATTACATAACCGCCGATTTACCAGAAGGTGGCAATGAGCACGGCGACATAATTGACATACTTGGTTGTGGGTGAAAATTGCAGAAGTGGTGTCTCAGATATCTTCTTTACATAAGTTTCAGGAACATGTCCTCAAAAGCAGCAATTTTGAAATTTTGCCTACCATAAACCTGATACCTTAAATAGAGTATTTATATCTATGTACATGTCAGCTACTGTATAATTAACGGTTTGTGTCAGTACATTATCCATGCAGTTAGGAACACTGTCAAATTTATATGAACACCAGCGTTATCTCCTAGGCTACACCATGCTGTTTGAATTTTATTTTCAGGCAATAAAAAAGGACGTGTCTCTAACGGGAGTAGGGGCAATATTTGGGTGTTACGAGGTGGCCATGTTCTGCTGTTCCTTTATTATTGGCTCACAGGTACTGTTGTTTAGTTGCTTTTTAGTTAGATTTTGTCTTCAGGTTTCATTTTTTTGCCATTTATTTATTTAATGAAATGTATAATTATGCAGGTGTCCATGCCCTCAGAATTCCTACTCACGACCACATCAAAACGACATTTTATTACCTGGATACGAACTCTTAATTAAGTCTTATAAATACCTTTTGACCTGTTGTATATTTTAGTTATGTCGCATGGGAGCGAGGCGTTGTTTCTACATTGGAACGCTTGTAATTGGTGTCAGTTCTTTGGCCTTCGGGTGCGTAACTTATTGGTAATATAGAGCTATCTTGCCACGTCTTTAAAGAATAAATATTTCGCGTTTGTCTTTAATTCAACAAAACGGAAAAATGCTAAAATTATCAGGATATGTAATAATCAAAACTGGAGATTTTGACATCGAAAATTGGAATAATGAATTGCAAATTTCCAGATGGATTTGCATATAGTTTATCTGTCTGCGGAAGCAGAAAATTAATAACATATGCATGGAAATAAATCCTATCATATAATACAGTATAATACAGTATATATATATATATATATATATATATATATAGAGAGAGAGAGAGAGAGAGAGAGAGAGAGAGAGAGAGAGGTACTGTAAAGGTGTTTTCTTTTTAGCTTTTTAGGTTCCTGCCCTCCTGGAGGCACTTTTCTTGGACTTGCCATCACAATACGTGTCATAGAATCATTGGGTGCGGCCATTTCTGCAATAGCAATCTATGCCCTAGCAACGAAGGAGTTTAGGGATAACGTCGCAACGGCATATGTAAGTAGACGACAATTGTTAAACTAAAATTATGCTAGTTCAACCTACGTTATTTGCATTTTAGGAGGAAAAACTCATAGCGCAGGAGCAAAGCATAATGAAATAATACAATATGAATAACTGTAATTTATAAACGAGTAGCCATTATCTAATTAATTAATTTATGGATCATCACTAACATATGATTACCTTAGTTCGTTTGAGACCAAACCTGAAAATTTTATCCAAATCCATATATTACTTTTTGAGTTGTGCTCGTGACGAACAGTCAAACAAAAGGGCAAACTAACAGACAAACACACCAGCAAACAAGCTGACAGACAAACAAAAAGAGTAACAGAAGTAAAAAACGCCTGCATTGGTCTAGGAGAAAATTATAAGGTACATTCCTCACATTGTCAAGCATTGGCACCACTCTCTTCGCTGTTTTCATGGCATTTTTGCACTTAGTAACTGTATTTATTTCAACAATAATAATTTTGAATAGCAAATGAATTGTTGAAATTATCATATAAAATATTGTAACATGGAACAAAGGCTTTTTGGTAATATGTTGTCTTAGTTTTGACATTTCACTCTTCAGGGGTTCTTGGAAATGTTTGCAGGACTTGGTCACGTCTTGGGCCCCTTGGTCGGTGGCGGCCTCTATCAGCTGGGAGGGTTTGGCTTGCCGTTCTTCGTGTCAGGTCCACTAACGATCATCGTAGCAGCTGTTGCCTTTTTTACTTTACCCACTGAGAAAGAAGAGGAAGGTAACTTGTCAGAGTTATTTTTGTCATAATTTGCCTGTCGAGTAATGGGAAATTCAGTTGGTAGCGCCATTTTTTGCCAAATTGCGTATACCTACATGATAAATTGCTTTTAAGAGAATGTACCATGGACAGCAAATGGAATAAATAACCATTTTTTGAAAAAATAAGGGCTAAGGATTTTTAAAGAATTTTAAATGAGACTTACAACATTCTTCTGTCATATATCTTGCACGAGAAGAAAAGACATTTGACGGCAACAGTTAGAGTATAATGGGGGAAAGGAATGCAGAGAAAAATGCTGGATATCATCACAGAATGGAAGTGTACAGAAAACCTATAAATTGGCTGGGGTAGACACAGGGGGAAGAATACCCATCAGGTTTGCCAATCGCATGGGATTTGGTAATGGCATAAATTTATATGCAGTGTATGTCAGTTATAATCTGTTTCCTAATATATATTATCTCGCTCATATTGTTTCTTGTGACTTTGAATCCACGTAAGCTGTTTGATCTATTTATTCACAGAAATGACATCAGACTCTGGGCAGATAATTAATTTAGCAAAGATACCCGCCATACCTTTGGAACACCTGGGTATTTTGGTGGTATTTGTTGGACTTGGCACTATCGTGCCCACACTTGGTCATCATTTAGAGAATGTAAGTAATTTTGTTAAAACTAACACTTTATAATAACTATGTAATTGTGAACTTTTTTATGTCAAATTTTAATAATTCAAAATTTAAAAAATTAATCTGTACTTGTAAAATGCCAAAAAACATGTAACTATCGAATTTAATTTTTGTGTAAAATATAATAAATCCACTTATTATAACCCTTATGCATATTGTCTCTTCTTATGAAACATTTTCGAATTTGTGAACCTCCTGTTTAAAAATCATCTTTATATTTAGCTCGTTATCGGTTCGAACATGCCTAATCTTCGAGCAGCTATCATAGACGCGAACAAATTTCTTGAATAGATGCGTTCAGTTTTGAAACTGCGTGGTCTATTGTCATTCTGTTCTCTGTCAATACCACATTTTCAGGTAGATCCATTTATGCGAAGTAACTATATAATGATCGGCCTGGCGCTAGCTCTATATGGGGTCTTGTACACGTGCTCAGTACCATTGTTTGGCTATATAACGGACAAATACGTAAGTAAAGACGCCCAGTTTAACAAAAATCTGAAGTCCGAAATTGGGTCTAAATTGTCAAACCAAATTGTGTTCCATTTAAGTTTAACTACATCAAAATAAGTCAACATAAATTGAGTATATGCACTGTATGGGGAGGGTTGATTGAGGTACACTTCCCTAGGGGGAGGGGGTGTCGGTTGGAGCAAGGTAGGGGTTGACTCTAAAAAAATAATAATTTAACATGTGTAAAGCTTAAGGAAAGCATTTTGAAACTCAAGTTCAAAATTGGCATTAATTTTTTTATAGAATCGTAGAAAGGTGATAATTATCTCCGGACTCCTCATAATGGCCTTATCCTTTACCCTCATTGGACCCTGGGCGCCCCTGACTTACTTATTTCCAAACGGCAAAGGGTATGTATCAATGCTAGTAAAACTTATTTTCCCTAATGTATTTTCCTCCACCTTTTGATACAAATGTACCACTTCCGAATCTGCAGGGTAACTGTCTAAGGGGTAAATTGAAATAAGGCGTTATATTACTTTGCATATATTGTTGCTATGAGATAAAAAAAAAAAATGAATTAAAACAACTTATTCAATAAGGGACGTGATTCATTTCAAATAAAAAGCTGTTAATTTTCTTTTGCCTTGGAGAGTTTTTGTTTCTTTAAAAATACCCAGGAGCAACGTTAAGCTGATATGTAGGTGCAATAATATATAATTTAAATTTTGGATTCCAGTGCATCATGGGCAGTTTTCCTGGGGGTTTGTGTCAGTGGAATTGGAACCGCCTGTGTCAATGTAGCTGCCATGGCGGATTGTGTAAATGAGGCGGTGTAAGTAATATGGAATAAGACCTAATTGTACTAATGAAACCGTTATGGCAGAATTTGAAACTGAGGCCGTGAAAGATATGTAGCATTAGAAATGCTAATGATGAATTTGTCCATTGAGGCGGATTGTGTAAATGAGACCATGCAAATCATGTGGAATTATGGCTGCTTGTACCATTGTAGACGCCATGACGGAATTTGAAACTGAGGCTATTTAAGATACGTGAAATTAGAACAGCCTGTACCATTATACCCCTCACGGTGGAATTTGAAACTGAGGTCGTGTAAGGTGTGTGGGATCAGCTAAGAGCCCGTGTCACTGCATGTAGCCGTCGGAGAAGATTGTGTATTACAAATTGTGGAAGTTGGATGGTTGGAACATATGCTCCATGGTTGGAACATATGCTCCATTTCCCAAATGTAAAGGATATCTATCCTTGTGTTAGTTGATGTGATTGAAACCAATCACCATATTTCATTTATCATTGCAGGTCTCACGGACTACCAGATAGTATGATCACATATGGGAATTTGTCAGCAATGTATGATACATCTACGGGTTTGGGGTAAGATTCCACGTGGTTTTCTTTTCTTTTAATTTTTTTAATTATTCCGCTCAATCCGTTAAATGATGTGGTTATATTAGAGAGCTTTGCTATAAGGTGAGCATATTCAGCTTGATACGGTTTGCCTTTTCTTTGAATAAACATTGTTCAAATGTTTTCGTATAAATAACGAAGTCTTAGTAAAAACGCACTTACACATTACTTAAAACAGTTAATGGTAACACTTAAAACACACGATATTTAAAGTTGTTTGTTTTTAAGCTTATATTCCAAAAAGGAGGTGGCACTGTGATTTCCATTATGTCAGTTTTTTTTTTCATTTGAATGGCCGAGTTATGGAAAAAATAGCCACATATTAGAGGTACAAGCCGATTTTTTTCGAATTCAGATTTCCTTTTTTACTCTTGTGCTTTATGCGTAATTTATTCCACCCCACCCCCCCCAAAAAAAAAATAAATAAATAAAATTTAGAGTTCCCATGGCTAATTTTAATTTCGTTCATATGAATAGGATTTTACTCACGCCCCTTAAAGACAGGGCAAATTTTCCACTTAAAATTTATCTTATCAATAAAAATGAAGTGTAAAAAACATGTTTTTACTTGTGATTTAGTAAGTTCATCGGGCCGATAATTGGAGCAGCCATCTTGGAACATAATCCATATAGCACGCTATCGGGAGTTCTTACGGGGCTCTCTCTGGGGGCGGTAAGTAATGGTAACAAACAGATACTTTAAAATTTAAATGCTTCCCTGAGGCCTTAAAAAAAGCTAGGGACACATCCAGGGGAGTTCATCTCGGGCATGTGTACCCGTCCCGGCTTTTGAGGTGTTCACATACTTTTTCTCCCTCCCAATTATAACTATCTCTTCCTTCCTTGTAATTGTGCATGTACATATCATAGAACGAAACGAGGTCAAAACATTTATCTTCGGGTCACTTCCAAAGCCCAAACATGTACATGTACCTGTATCCGTCAGTATATGCAGCACATTGATTGTTATACGATACATTGTATGTTTATTCTAATATAATGTCTGGTTCTTACAGGTATATTCCATACTCCACTCTCAGTGTAGTTTACAATAGATGACAATACGTCAAAAATCTTCTTATATTAATACTATATATTTTTTTATTTTTACGTCTGCCCATGGTGCGTACTCTGGAGACGTTCCAGGCCTCCCTGAAGCTGTAGTTAATTTAAAGTGTGTGTCCCTTTTCAGGCTGGACTCCTCATTCTATACTGTGGGGTAGTCTATGCAGCTCTTAAAAGGAGTCGTAGCAGGTCCGGATACAGTAGTATTGACAATAATAATGTCACCCACTGTGACACGCAATACGGAAAGAAGACAGTGAGATTGCCACTATTCCCTTGCCCGACTATACAGATACAACACGTGCAATTCGAAAGTATGGCTGATGATAGTGTCAATTTTGACCAGTTTTCTAACCTCGACACATCTAGGTGAAAAAAGAAAGGTGCATAGACGTGCATATTATATACTTAAAAAACATTTTATCTGCCCAGTGCCATGATTATTTCTTCTGCACGCTGATATACACTGATGCTCATAAGTTAAGCNTTCGCATGTTGTTAATTGTCATAAACATAAAATGAAGCAGATTGTAACAGTTGGATGTTTACTGGCATTTTATATTTATGACACTGACCTCTATACAATAAAAGCACTATGCATAACACCAACTCAAAAAGTGAATTTCCGGCAATGATATATAGTAAGAAGCCATAGAGTGGCGTCAGTAACGCATCGATTTGGGAGATAAAAATGATAATCGCTGTCTGAATAACTAAATAATGTGCAAATAACCATATATATGCTGTGTGCACGACCATTTAACCTTGTTATTAACCAACGTTATTGTTACGAATTTCTTACATACTTAAAGAATTTTAGTGGAGCAGAGTGAACACGGTTTGGCTTCTCATTAGTGACTGGGTGTCATGCGCTCAAACAAACCTGAGAGGCTATCTTCAATTTGCCTTTTCATTTCATTTTAAGTCAGGGCAAGTCAGAAAAAAAACTTATAAAAACGTATTTATAAAAACTGATGAAAAACTGATATAAATGAATAAAAACTGATTTAAACGTGCCGTGTCGCTGAACTGAATAAAATGTCGAGGTGGGAGTTCAAATATATACCTGTAGGGCAAGTCATACGACACGTGAACACATCTCACTACATACAATACTCTGACTTACTCTCACATATAGCATGTGTTACAGTTACAATAAGCTCACATAAATTTTATTAAGCCAGTTGTCTATCCATAACAAAGCCGCCACAAAACGAGGGGTTAAACTAGTATTTTCTCAAACATAACTTTAAAAGGACAGAACGTAATAGAGTATGTGGGGGTTGATATGGCCCGAAGTGTCGGACCAGTCGGTGTTTGAGGGGCCCATGTTGTTGTGCATTGTTCTTCCAGAAACAGAGCGTTAATGGGGCTATTTACCGTAATATTCTCAACAGACATCTCACTCAATGTGCACAGTGAAAATTCAGGGATACAACATGCTCCATCGTGACAATGCACTTGCTCACAGTTCTCGTATGGTGAGCGATTCGTTGCAGAAACGCAATTATCTATTGATAGAACACACATCCCTGAAGCCTATTACTTACCCTACTGAACACCTGAGGGATGTTGTGGAGTGCGTATTGCAACGAACCTCCCCCCAAATAACCTGGACAGATTATGTAAAGCTCTTCAGGATAATTGGGACAATATCCCACGAAACAGACTTGTAACCCAACGCAGCACCGGATTTAGGGTGTGTCAGGGGGGATCCTGAACCTCCGCTCGATATCTGATAAAAACACAACAAAACGCAACAAAACACGTGTTATACAAAGACACTTCGTGCTATCAGAACGTGTGGACTGCTGATGACAACAGTTCCCAATGGGCTCGGAATTTTTAATTTGACAATGATCGGAAACCAATAATGATGAAAAAAATTCGTCCCGTCTCAATGCTAATAGCTGGAAATGCATGGAGATTGTTCCCGTAAATGCGGCTATTTATGCTACGTGGTTGTGAAATTTGATTACTAGGCTATTATAAGCACCCTGAGCTTCAGAGCTAACTTGACACTAACCTTTTCACTGTAGCCTATCTCCATCGTGTCAAGTAACCTCTGACCAGATTCGAGTGCCCCCGCCGCCCGCCAATCAAATTTAAAGCCCGCACTCAATGACTCATTGAACGATCTAGCCAATGAACGCGAACGAGTCAAAGCGCGCTTTGTTCAAATCCGGACCAATCAAAGATAAGGCTGAATATCAGGGACTTGCCGTAACCTGTGGGCAGCACGCAAAATACATCATCCCTCAGTAGATAATGATGCAGGGCATCATACTGCTCTGGTTTCAATTCCGATATACTCCATGCTTTCTTTGTGTACGGTTATGCACTCGGAACTACTCGGATGTTTCCGCACTCGACAATAACTATGTTGTTAGTATGGAGCTTGCGGAATCAGCCGAGGATTGCCGATTGACGATCAACCAATCAGCGTTTTCACCAAACTTTGGTGAAAAATTTTGAAACATGGATTCGATTGGCTTATATAAACTAGGTCAAACTATTTTCGCCAGAGGTTACTTGACACGATGGAGATAGGCTACAGTGAAAAGGTTAGTGTCAAGTTAGCTCTGAAGCTCAGGGTGATTATAAGGGATAATGTGGAAAATTATCAAGTGAAGTGCATAGTTCATATTGCATTCGTAAACCCTGAAGTGCGAATGTAACTTTCAAACAAATCAATCCCACACGTTTTCCCGATAAAAAGTAATTGGGCTTCTTAAGTGTCTTTCGATTATCAGCATTATCTGTGTCCACGTTTTCATTTTTCAGACACACCGCTGTTTTTCCTTAGTTACAAAGCCCACCGATAATCCGCACACTAATACAGATGTAAAAAAGAATTATTTTTACTTAAGGCCTCTTTACAATGGGCGGCGTCCTTTCTGCTATCAAAAATGTGGTCAGGATACAAAGGCAGTTAAATCGTGTCTCACTGTAGGCGTCTGCGTCCGTTGTGCGTCCTTTGAACGACCGAATCTTGCTTTCACCTGCAAAACTGCCACTGAGAGACCGGCCTGCCTCCCCAGTGCGTCCCCTATGCAACCCACGGCGTCTATTGCGATGTTTGAGCAGCCATTGACCATCCTCGCTGCGTTCTCTGTACCTTCATCGGCGATCAGTGGTGACCATTCTACGATCTTTCTGCTTCCTGCTTGACCAATGAGCATTGTTTGGGCGCCCTTCAATATATTCTAACGCTTTTGTATTTTTTCATCGTTCTAACCTGGACACGAAATTTGGCCAAATTATAATTTTGATGATTTTCATTTATCATCCCTGTGACGACGTTACCGACTTTGTCTTGCTTTTTTCGCGAGGTAAAACCAAACAACGTCAATATTCCTTCATATTCTTTATTATCCCTTTCTAACTATGCTATCTACAATTTAAACCACGGCTAGCGCGTAGAACAAAAGACTCGACCGTGCTGTATTCGACATACAAGCACGTCATGTACGAGTGCGTTCCACGGTCTGTTGCACTACTAGTGTAGTAGCCAATCAGAGGCCGTGGTTTAAGCCAGATACAACACTCGTCGCCGAGCTGTGCGTGAAAATTACTTGTGTATTGTCTCGCCTGCGGCTCGCCAATACACTCGTAATATTTCACGTACAGCTCGGCGACTCGTATTGTATCTATCACGTATTCCTCTCCTCTCAACCTCTTACATCGATCTCTCTCGTTTACATTACATTCTGTGCTTAAGTACAACGAGGTCATGTCAATCAACTAAGGTTACGCTACAAAACACTCCCTGCTCCTTGTTCACTTGTGGCTGTCAATTACTAACATTACATCTCTTTGGACAAGTACGTGTTTTAGGCACTAATTAGAAAATCATTTAGCTGATAAATGAGCCTTGACCACCAACCAAGGGGCGGGCCCAGGATTATTTGAAGGGGGGGGGTCGGGGATGCAAAGCCGACCCTTAGAGATCATTCTCAGAGACTATCTTAAGATCGAACTATCTCCAAGGGAATTCTCGCTTAATTGCAATTAACTTAAACGGCGTAGATGTCTGTAACGCCTACCGAAGGGTAATTAACTATCGTTTAGCAGCTTAAGTAGACGTCCCAGACATGTAAGCCACTTAAAAGCCACTTAAAAGTTGAAAGAAATTTAACGAGAAATCCCGTGGATTAGATCGATCTAGGAATGGGAACCAAGTCTTACCCCCCCCTTGGTGTGGTGTTCGGGGCCTTGAAAAAATTGGCATTTTTGAGGGCGAACGGTGCTATATGGTACGATTTAGAATTATGATTCAGCTGGTGAAAATTCTTATTTCAAGGTGGGACTTTTGGTATGATATTTTTTCAGAATTCGAAGGGGCGACGCTCCACCCTGACCCCCCTAAATCCGCCACTGCAATCAGCCATGAGAGGACGGCACTGTAATAAACCCTTAGCTGACCTAACCCGGTCTTCCCCTCCTAGTGTGCGGGGCTCGGACGAGTTCGGTCTGGGGCTCCAACCTTAGTACATTTGTCACATTATAGCTTTTCGTGCTCTAATGGTAAAATATAAGTAATTTTGAATTGCCGTTTGAATTATATATAAGGGTTGGATTTTCCCCCCAGTGAGTATTCACTTCTACTTTTCCATTGAGGTTATATATTTTATCCATTGGATTCAGCAGCTCGATTGGAGTACCGCTTGGTACCGTTCTTTACCAAGAAGGCAGAAGGCAGACGTTAGTGACAAGACCGCGCAAACTCGGACTTGGTAAACTAGTGATCATTGTGCATTGTAAGGTGAAAGCTTTACAAAGGGACGCAAAAGGAGGGGGGGCAGGCAGGTTGCTCAGTGGACGCACATGTCGCTCAGCGGACGCAAAGTAAGCTCGCAGTTTTACAGGTATTTTACAGGTAAAATCTACATTCAGTCGTTCAAAGGACGCACAAGGGACGCAGGCGCGTTTACACTGAAACACAATTTAATTGCTTTGGACACTAATGGGCATCCAGACTACATTTATGATCGTAGAAGGGACGCAGAAAGGATGCAGTCCGGTGTATAGGGGCCTTCAGCTAGTCAACCGAAAAAAAAAGACGAGGCTGAACGAATCTCGGTTTGTTTTATGAGTGAAACACTCTATAAACTACACAGTGCAATGGGCAATTCACGCTGCATTATCTGACTGGTCGCATTTCAAGCAATAAGCGGGAGACACCATTTGGCGTTACTTCTGACATGGCGGCTTTCTCTAAGATAATATAGAAGACAGGATGAGATAAGAGGACACGCAAGAGAGTGTGAAGACAGATCAGGAGATGGAAAGAAGGTGCAAAGAGATACACGATGAGAAGGAGGGAAGGGATGAGGAGATAGAGGATGAGAAGGAAGGAAGGGGTGAGACCGTGAAGAAACATACAGGAGAGGAGTTGCTGAAGCTGAGTTCTCGGCAGAAATCCTCATTAATGAACGGTGCTCTTGCCAACATCGCTTTATCCGCTTGCTACTCCGTAATGCAACCATTTCTCCGAGATCAGGTAAGTGAGAATTCATTGGCTCTTTTTATAGAAATTGTCTTATTTTATTGTTTTGTTTGATGTCTGTTGAAATGGAGTCACCCAAGATGTCCTAGACGCAATGTCATACGTGACCAGAAAACGTACAACAACTGCATAAAGTTGGGCTAACCTTGTAGCACAAGGCATGAAATTTGGTGCGCCGTAAAGTCTAGGTCCCAACCGAACGTTCGGGCTGCTACGTGTGGTCTACGGCAAAAAATGGGGAAAACGTGGGAGTTCGTGCGTGAGGAGCACGTCCATCGTGCGACTTTTGGAGGACGCGAACAGCACCTAGACTAGCACTTTTCACTAATTACTTGATTTCTCCCCTGCAATCTAGCTACGTTCTAGCCGGACGCAAGGAACCTAAAATCCGTGCGTTCAAAACGTAGTTGGGACCTAGGCTTAACAGAAAGCAAATCTTTACAAAGAGGAGCCATTGGTGGGGGGGGGGGGGGGGAGAAGTGAACACAGCTCATGGGAAATAAAACCATCAATTCACAAATCACCGAAAATAATATTTTACTCATATCTCACTGATAAAACACGAAAATCAAGAATCACCGGCTATCGAATCTTTCACAAAAGGCGAAGAATGAAAAGCCACATTTACGATTCACGGGAAATGGGTGCTTCACGAATCACACACTAAAATAAGTTTTTCTCTTCTCAGGAATGAAAATGGGTCTTTCACTGGTAACTAAAATACCTTATCAGACCCTTTACTATAATAACACGCAACGTAATGTATGTTGAATGCATGCTAATGTGCATAGAACAGGGGATCTAACAAAAACAAGAAGAATATTAACCGTGGATGTATGCTGGCAGCTTTTTTTCGTTGATGTGTGATACTCACTAATCTGTCATTATTTTTTATCCAACTCACCTCCAGATCCCTTGAAATTCAATTTGATTTTATGCAAACTGACCAGAAGTTATATTAATGCACTTAAATCAAATTATAAAATTAGTTACCTATCATAACCTCAATATGAAAATAAAAAAGGCTTCAAGGTCACATGTATGTTTTTATATGAATAACATGTACCGATATAATGTTTTCAACCATTAATATAAACCTTTTGTGTCCGTTAACGACCTAGTTAAGGTTAAATGCATTTGTGCTATCTCACCGCCTTATTTGCATTTTTATTCCTCAGGCAATAAAAAAGGACGTGTCTCTGACAGGTGCAGGGGCAATATTTGGGTGTTACGAGGTCGCCATGTTCTGCTGTTCCCTTATTATTGGCTCACAGGTACTGTAAGTCGGTTAATTGTTTTTCAGCATGTTTCATCTTACTCTTTTGTTTTCTAGGTTGTAACTTATTCATTCAAACCTATTATTGAAATAAATTCAATTTCAAAGTGATTTTCAATAACATATTAAGAAGTTATAACAACATTTCAAAAAATGACATAACCTATTTCATCTCTTGAGAAAAAAAACATTGATTTTTTTTAATTTTAACTTATTTTGTTTTAGTTATCTCGCATTGGTTCTAGGCGTTGTTTCTACACAGGGACACTTGTAATTGGTATCAGTTCGTTGGCCTTTGGGTGCGTAACTATTTGTCCACATGGAGTCTTTTTCTGTGTTATCTTGGGAGGGAGATAGAGTATCTTTGCTATAATCTAGTAATGAACGTTAGACTCCACCCCCCTAAAAATGGCCCTTTATCAAGATTTACGCTATCCAAAACAGAAAAAACACGCAATTCTTCAATAGTTTTGGATATGTTATACCTTGTTGATGAAACATAATGTAAAAAATAAAGGGTTAAAAATAAAGGGTAAATATCTAGCACTCATACATATGTGTTGAAACCTACGTTTAAACTGCGTAAGGTTGTCAATCAGATCATGGCCAAAGTATAAATGATTAGTTTCATTTATTTCATTCATTAAAAAAATAAAAAGAAAATATTAAATAATAAAATACCATACAGGAATCTTACCTGGTTTAGGTGTAGAGTTTTAGTTTTTTAGATGCCTGCCCTCCCGGTGACTCTTTTCTTGGGCTAGCTATATCAATACGCGTGATACAATCAATAGGCGCATCGATGTCTTTTACGGCCAACTATGCCCTAGCAACAAAGGAGTTTAGGGATAACGTAGCAGCAGCGTATGTAAGTAGATGACAATCCTTAGTTTGATATCATTCTAGTTAAAAAAAATTATCAAAAATTTGTTTGAAGCACAAAAAAAAAAAATAATAATAATAATGAATAAAATACTAGTCAGTAGTCAATGGGGCAATCGTGCGGGAGCGAGTTATACATGTTTGTGCTTAAAACTGAATGCGTAAGATACGTATAATCTTTATTTTTCAAACATTTTCTCTAAGTATCAATATTTGGCAATCGTCAGATGATTACAAATATTAATCAAGTATTTTTTACATAGGCCTATGTATATACTCTATACATGTATGCCTTTATTTAAACAGTGCACATATCCGAAAGTCGAATAAATTGATGAAATTGAATTTCACTTTGTTAATACATAGAATCTTTTTACATTCTATTTCGTGTAAGATTCTGTTTAGATTATGTTACGTGCATCTTAGTTTTGACATTTCACTCTTTAGGGTTTTTTAGAAATGTTTGCAGGACTTGGTCACGTCTTGGGCCCCCTGGTCGGTGGCGGCCTCTATCAGGTGGCAGGGTTTGGCCTGCCGTTCTTCGTGACAGGACCAATGTCCATTGTCATAGCAGCTGTGGCTTTTTTTACCTTACCAAGCGATAAAGAAGAGGAAGGTAACTTGTCACAGCAATATTTGCTGTCGTGTAATGGGAAATTTCCGCCGGTTATAATTGAAAGCGCTGTTTGGGTACCTGAAATTACGGTCACATATTTATTAAGTTTTAAGCAGACTTTTAAATGCACATACAGAGGTATACCTTGGGCAGCAAAGAATCCAAATGACCAATTTGTTGATGAAGTCGAAGGCACAAGGCAAGAAATGCCATACATTTCACTGACCATAGGTGATAATTGCATTAGAGAAAAACAACTCGAGGATTTTGTGAAAACAGTCAAAATAAATCGCAAGAAACAGGAGAAAACAGGGAATATACTGGACCGCGTCACAGAATTAAGACGCGTTGAAAACCTTAGAAATGTTAAAGTGTTGACAGGGTTAGAGACAGTTTAACGGGCATAATCGCGCCTTCAACAGTCAGCGGGAAGCCTGAAGATGGCATGGGGTTATAGTCAGTGTAATTCAAGGGTAATCAATTCAACCATAACGTGTTCCCTCATATTTATCACTTTCAAATGCTTTCTTGAAGTTTGTCATTTTATTTCATATAAGCTGTTCAACCTTTTATTCCCAGAAATGCCGTCAGACTATGGACAGCTCATTAAATTAGCAAAGATACCCGCCATACCTCTGGAACACCTAGCAGTTTGGGTAGGATTTGTTGGACTAAGTGCTTTAAGTCCCACTCTAGGAGGTCATTTACAGAACGTAAGCTTTTTAATTACAAAGTCATCGAAATTTAATTTTCATAAAACTTCCTATATTATTGTGACAAAAAAGAAACGAAAGTTTTCTGCGAAAAATATTTTCGTCTCCACTTTGCTTATTTTATGAATTATTTTCAACTTTATGACACCTAGGTCATGAATATTGTATAAATATTGCATTTGCAGGTAGATGCATCTGTCCAAGGTAACCATATAATGATCGGCCTGGCGTTTGCTCTGTGTGGGATCTTTTACACGTTCTCAGTACCTTTGTTTGGCTGTATAACAGACAAATGCGTAAGTTGCTGTATATTCCTTTATTTCATTATCTATATTTTTCTCTGTATTCTTTACATCATATAGTTGTACATCTGTTTGGCCAAAGCCACATAAAATTGTACCTGACATCTTTTTTCAAATAAAGTTAGACCGAAACAGACAATTGCAAATAAGTAAATAAAGTGTTTCATTTAAATTTGCTTATCACAGATTCCATTTTGGTAAAAAAAAGACGAACATTCTGGGGAATTTTATGATGTTTGCAGTTTCTGAAACAGTTACCTGGTGTGGACAGAAATGTCACCACGATAATAAACCGATGGTTTTCTAAATTACAATGATCTGCTATACTACATGTACACTATGCAATGCTATGCCATGCCAAGCCATGCCAAGCCATGCTAAACCGTACTATACCATACCATAACATTAAGCCTCGGTCACAACCGGCAGTACGGGCTCTTACGGCCTGTTTGCGTCCAAATTTTGCGCAGAATCTCACGTGCCGCGCAAGTTCTTCTTGCTAAATTTGGAATAAGTTTCACCACTACAGCATTTAGAAACATTGCAATGGTGCCTAAAGTTTTAATTTTCTATTATATAACAACTCGTTAAAATTGGGTATGTGAGTAGCACAACACTGAGTTACCTAGCGTAACCATTGAAACACTCAACACCAACAATTTTAATTTGCGGTTCCAAGTAGGGAGCGATATATTTTTCCCTAGCTACCGACACAGGAGGGTGCTTCGACTCGCCGAATTGCCAGAAGGCTGGGTTGTTCCATGAAAAACATTCAGAAGTTTGGCAAAATTATCCCCAAACAGGCACATGTCGGTAAGGCCGACCGAAGAAAATCACATCCAGAGAAGAGAGAATATTAATGCGTTTTTCTCGAAGAAAACGTTTCGTGAAATTTAGGAAGTCGACTGCAACATCTAACATGCTTAGCGGAGCGAAACAATTTGAATCTTAAGTAAAAAAATTCAACCCGTTTTTCTTTATAGAATCACAGGAAGGTGATTATAGTCTTGGGACTCATCGTGACAGCTTTATCCTTTACCCTCATTGGACCCTGGGTGCCCTTGACTGATCTATTTCCAAACGACAAGGGGTAGGTATCAATGTCATTAATTTTAATTCATGACAACGTCAAGTTTTGATTGAAATATACTTTTGCCAGGTTAAAATATTGCGTATCGACTTAGCTAATCGACGATTTTCTTAAATGTAGGAACCATAAAATTGATAAAATGCGTTCTTACTAAAATACCTGTTCTTTAATTGTCTCGTTCGGAAACATCTACGAAGAACCAAAAGCTGTTCTGTAGTCTCACTTCATGTAAACTCTTAACTTTGGATTTCAGGGCAACGTGGGCTGTTTTCTTGGGGAATTGTCTATGTGGGATTGGAACCGCCTGTATCAATGTAGCTGTCATGGCGGATTGTGTAAATGAAGCCGTGTAAGTTATATGGAATTAGAAGAGCTTGCATCAATGTAGCTGTCATGACGAATTTTGTAAATGAAGCCGTGTTAGTTGGAAAATCTATTAAGACCCCATTAAGACCCCATGCGCCGTTTCCGTATGTTTGTTTTTCGGAAAGTGGACTAGGCATCAAATAAAAAATGCACAAAACCTTTTTTGGGACGCGATAAAAAATGTCACCAGTTTTCAGTGTTCTAGTTAAAATGTAATTTATTTGTTACATGACATTATTTTCGTATTTCCTTATGTAAGTCTAGTTCTTTATCACATTTCGTTACAGTAATTAATAATTTTACTCCATTCAGCTGTATTGTTATCACATTTTCTTATGCTAGTTGGAATTACTTGAACTCATCAGTTTTATTATCAGTTTTTTTTTATTTAATTGCAGATCCCACGGTTTACCAGATAGCATAATCACATATGGTAATTTGTCAGCAATATTTGATACATCTATGGGTCTGGGGTAAGACTTTGTGTGGTTCCTCTTCGTTTTCATTGCTTTGTCAAATCAGTAAATGAAACAGTTATGTGAGATTATCACACATATGTTATTTCTGCTATAGAATTATTTACAATTAAACCAGTGTTGTAGGCTCTGTATAAGTTAATAAAATACTAAAACGTGGTAGATATTCACATCATTTTGTAATAATTTTTCTTCACATGACTCAAACGTGGGTCAGAGGTCAAATTGTAGTCAGTGCTGTAATATGCTGAAACAACTAGGTTATAATATACGTGTTTTTAATGCAAATGGCTCTTTTTACTTAAAATGATATCAGAGTAAAATAGCAAGCAAAATTGAATTGTAGATTTTCATAGCTTCTTTTGACAGTTTAAGTCACAAACGTACGTCTTGTGAAAGAATATTTGGATAATTAAATTAAGGGATAATTAATTAAAATATTAATTAAGTCAAAGGAAAATGAGCATAAAACTCGCATTTATGCTTTAATTTTATAATTAATATACTTCACGCAAAATTATCCATAAATAATATAATATAATATAAATTTGAAAATTTTTCTTCATGTTTAAGGAACTTTATAGGGCCGATAATTGGAGCAGCCATCTTGGAACATAATCCATTCAGCACGTTATCGGGAGTCCTTACGGGGCTCTGTCTGGGAGAAGTAAGTCCTGTCAATCCAAAACAGTAATTAAAAGTGAAACGAGTCTTTTTTGTGTAGTGGATTACAAACCCTTATATGAATCACACTTTTAATGAAAAGAAAATAAATAAACAACACGTGGTCATTTTTTACACACACACACACACACACACACACACACACACACCCTCTCTCCCTCTCTTTCTCTCTCTGCATTGTGTTTGAGGATCTTTTATAGACATTCTTACATGATTCATATTTCCAAGGTATGGATGCGGCAAATGCTTGTACAAACGTATATTTTATTCATATACTGATTACTATATGAGTGACTTGTGTCCGTTTTCAGGCTGGTCTCCTCGTTCTATACTGTGGGATAATCTATGCAGTACTTACAAAGAGGCGTAACAGGTCCGGATACAGCAGTATTGACAGTTCCGTTGACAGTGCCACTTACAATTACACTCATAACGTCAAGAGATTACTGTTATTGCCACCAACCCCATGTCCAGTAACACAAAAACATTATGTACAATCAGAATGAATGACGCTGCCCTCAGTTTTAACTAGTCACAAAGCTAGATTGTAGTTCGCCATACCTGTAGATCTGTCAATGGTTGAAAAAATACGTGTATCACAAATTTTGACAAAACATATAGGCATTGTGTTTCGGTCACCTGGGGTTATACAACATTGGTCAAAAAGGTTGTCCCACCCCCATTTCCATGTACTTTTATTTACAAATGATCACCTTACAGGTGTAAATTGTTAAAAACGGTGCTTTTTATTCCAGATACCATGTCTAACATGATAAATGGTTAAAAAAAAATACAAAATAGTAGTGAAAATATAGACATTTTATACCATTTAGTCAAATTTATAACAGGTACCCCCTCAAATCCAATGTTTCACTGTGATTTCCACATATGTAAAGAAGTGTATATTTAATTAAAAAGACGCCATCAAATGTCACCAAATTTACACACGATTAGCATTAAGATGTGCTCGTTTAAGGTCACATGCCTTATAGCGTGTGCGTCTACCGCGTATTGTAATTATCTCCTGTAGATGGCGCGACAAGCCTTCAACAAGGGTAAAAATTCTGTTTCGTGGGATATTATCCCATTATTCCTTAACAGCTTGGGGGAGTTGGTCCAGATTATTTCGGAATTGGTTCTCCAATTTTAGGCTAAAATACACTTCCTTCTTAATCATATTCTGGCCTTTTTCAGGACTTCGTGCAAATTCGTGTCGTTACCAGATTCTGTCCTTTTCAGAGCCAATCTGCACGTCCTTAACCAGTTTCTGACCCATTTTAAGGCATCGTGCACATTCGTTTCTTAACAAGATTAATACCTTTTCAGGGCCCCTTGTACACCTTGCTTCACAATTTGTCTCAGTATTAGACCATTTATGTCATTTCATCTTATTTATATTTCCTGTCAACTTTTTACGACACGCGTCTTCCCTGCAGGGGCAAAATAATGAAATCTCGGCTCAACTCAAGCGGTCGAGGGGTAACGATTGGGGAGGAGTGTGTGTTGTCGACATCGACAAATATATCACGTTATCACACCTACTGCAATGTCGCTGTAATAGGGTCATGAATATTTGAGTACTTTTTGACAACGCTCACTATAAAAGCGAGCGCACACCACTTCTGGGTGCGGTCAGGTTTTTTCTCTTCGAAATGTAATAAGGTAAGACACGTAGAACACTTTGGATATGTACATATTTAGTTGTTCATTTATTTTGATATAAAAGATTTGTAAACCGTCGTCACCTATTAGTTATTCATAAAGTCAGGTGATATTAGTATAAAGTCATCTTTTTTATATCAATATATATATATATTTAGTCGACATGTACGTTATCCTTCTAGACAATTGCTTTCCTGGCCGCCACGTTACTGTGTACTCAATCTTTAAGTTGCCGAATGTTGTGTAAGTACTATAGATATATATTTAATTTCATAGTTTAGTCATATTGTCGATATTTGCGTGTTCGTATCTCTCTCTCTCTCTCTCTCTCTCCATTCTTGCATTTGTGTGTACACTTTATGTAATATATTTATTTATTATTATTATTATTATTTATCTATTTTACTTATTTTTTGTTTAGTTTCACCACATCAGAAAACGCCTCAGAACTCACTTCAGAACTCACCTCAGAATTCACCCCAGAATTCACCTTAGAATTCATTATAAATAGCTACAAAATGTGCGTGAACAAAAAAGGTGAAATTTAAAGATTTGTTTTGAGTTATTGACTGGTACGCAGTAACAGTGTGAGAGGCGAAGAGACCATTACAGGATTAAGCGGTCTTCCTTTCATGTAGGTCCGTCATATTTAGGTCGCGGCCGAGCTACACATCGGCTTTTCTCGATCTGAAGGGTCTCTAATACTCCGTATTTTCTACCCCTTTTGTAATAGTATCTAAACAAAACTGACTCGGCTTTTCAGATCGTTTATTATTCTTTCCCTTCCTAGCAGATATTCCAGCAGATGGGCTGATTTTTCTTCAAGCACTTTTATGCACTCGCTTTGTGCATTGATGATTGCACGCATATCTAAACCCATAGTTTGTTTTCATAGCATTCACCTTCTCCTCTGCTAAAACTGATATCTCTTTGCAATCTTCTCCTTTCGTTGTTATCACTGATTTTTTTTTTGCCCCTCTTTGATGATTTTCAGTTCTTTCACAATGTCTGTCATTTGTACCGCAGCTGTTCAATAGACATGCTACCCACATGGAGCTGCGTAGGGCGAGACGTCTTCACTAACGCATCGCTCGGGGATTGGAGCAGACTGTGGGTTTGGTGTTGAAAGATCGTCTGTGCTACCATAAAAAACATGGTTTACGTCTTCTAAAATATTACTAAGCTGCTTATGGTCATGGTTTGGTGAGCTGGTAGCTCTTCTTTTCTTACTTTTATCCATTATCAAGGAGCGTCACCGCAATAATTACACTGTCATCACATATAAGCTTTATAAAGTAGAGCCTGCAGCGTAAATGTATTAGCTGGGCTCTAGTATACCCTACGGCATATAGCTGATGACTGCAGTCCTATTGTTGTTCTATTGTGTGAAATTCTAAGACGATTTGGTGAAAGTCAATGCCTACGCACTCTTGATGTATTTTCCAAATCTCCATTCAATCACATATAACACCACAAACTGCTTAAATTCAGCTAAAAGTTCAAAATTGTCACCAGTCTTCAGTTCTGATATATTCACATGTATGTACATACAAAATCAGTTCGATATAGGTTTTAACAGCGTTGGATTTCCAGAAAAATCTCACCTTACGATACGAGGCATGTTCCCAACAACAGGTTTTATCTCCGTGTTCACATTTTCATTATCAGACTTTCCCCTGTTCTGCAGTTTTTCCCTCGCACAATAATACAGATGTAAAAAAAAAATAAATAAAATAAAATAAGAATAGAGGGAACCGGAGGAGACAGGTTTGTGCCAAAAGTGACGTGTAGTGGTGAAAGACGTGAAGCTGAGTGGTTAATTTTACATGATATGCAAACGTGTTAAATTCCCTTGACGCTCTTTGTCTCGCTGTCGGTCGATTCAGCATATATTTCAAAACAAACTGACAGCTAATTAAGCACAATTTTGCACTTTCATGTTTCTTAACACGTTTTCATATCATGTACCTTTTATATCTACAAGTCTTCTCTGTCCAAAATGCCAAAATAAAAAATGTTATCTCACCGTGTTGTTGGAAAAAACGTTTTTTTTTTCGTTCAGCGCACGTCTTCACTCCCGCACCTCCAGCTAAAAATGACCATTCAGCTTCAAGTCTTACACTATTACACGTCACCTCTGGCACAATCATGTCTCCTCCGGTACCCTCCCCTTTAGCAAAATATCAGGCCTGCCGCAACTCTCTCACAAATTCACTGAAAATTTGCTACAAACTCGCTGCAAGTTTGATGCTAATATGCTGCGAATTTGCAAAGCTAATATATTCTTGCAAATCTGCTGCTAATTCGTCACTAATTTGCCAGAACAGAAAGACATCTCTTGCAAACCTGCTGTAAACTTAAGTTTTTATTGCAAATTTGTTGCAAATTAGATGCAATACAAATTTCTCTTGTTAACTCCTGCAAGCTGGTTGCCGCACACTTGTAGTTTGCTGCAGTGTTGCCGCGATATTGCTGCAAACTTTTCATTTTGCTAAGGGCTTTTGTTCTTAGAGATTAAATAACACCAGTCAAAGAGTACGTTACCGTCAACCACCAATCAGTACAAGTCTTAGTCAGTGAATCCGATTAAATTTCTGCTGTCTTTAACCCTCGGTAGGTGGCGGCTCTGCGTAACCGGTTTTCCACAAATGTACGAGTTTGCTTGGTCATCGTTACCATCGAGTACACACAGTCACTGTATCAGACTTAGCAGGTCAACCGGAAAAAAAAATACGAGGGCGATGGGTCTAAATACAGCCTTATGATTGAAAACACCCTTAATACAAATCAGTGCAATGGGGAATTTACACTGCAGTTTTTGAGAGGTCTGATGTCAAGTAAAAAGCGAGCGACTCCATTTTATGTGATTATTCACTAACATGGTGGCTTTCTACTGATATAATATAGAAGACGGATAGGATTAGATAGGAGGGTATGCGATAGAAGGGCTGATATTTGAGAGATCTCATGTCAAGCAATAAGCGAGCGACTCCATTTTATGTGACTATATACTGACATGGTGGCTTTCTACTGAGAAAATATAGAAGACTGAGCAGATAAGATAGGAGGGCATGCGAGAGAGTGAGAAGACATAGATCAGGAGATGGAAAGAAAGTGCGAAGAGATACATGATGCGAAGGAAGGAATGAGTGAGGAAATTGAGGACGAGAAGGAAGGAAGGGGTGAGACCGTGAAGAAAAATATACATGTAGGAGAGGAGTTGCTGAAGCTGAGTTCTCGGCAGAAATTCACATTGATGAATGGTGCACTTGCTAACTTCGCTTCATCCACGTGCTACACTGTGATGCAGCCATTTCTCCGAGATGAGGTGAGTGAGAATACAGAGACTCTTTTTATAGAATGAGAATTATCATTTTTATTATATATATATATATATATATATATATATATATATATATATATATATATATATATATTTTTTTTTTTTGTCTTCTAGAGGACAAAATAGATTCATCCTAGATGGCCTAAAACGCAATACCATGCGTGACCACAAAACTTACGAGAACTTTATGAAAGTGGGATAGCACAACGCATGACATTTGATGCCCCGTAACAGAAAGCATATATTTACAAAGAGGTCCCATTGGAGGGTAGTGATCACAGTTCACGGGAAATAAAACCATCAATTCACAAATCACAGCAAATGATATTTTACTCATATTTCACTGATAATGTGCGTCGAAAATCCTGAAAATCAGGAATCGCTGGGTATCGACTCGTTTCATGAAAAGCGAAGAATGAAAAGCCGCATTTAAGAGTCAGGGGAAAGGGGTGCTTCACGAATCACACTAAGATATGAACGTTTTACTCTTCTCGGGGATAAAAACACGTCTTTCATGGGTAACTAAAATACCCTATTAGACCCTCTACAAAGGTAACATGCAACGTATGTTGAATGCATACTAATGTGTAGAGGACTTGGAATCTAACCAAAACAAGAAGAAAATTAACTGTGGATGTATGCTGGCAGCTTTTTTCTTTGCTGCGTGGCACTCTAATTAATCATTATTTCTGATCCAACTCTCCTCCAAATCCCGTGAAATTAAATTTGATTTTATGCAAATTTAGTAAAATATCATAACCTCAATATGAAAAAATTGGCTTCATGGTCACATGTATGTTTTATATGAATAGTTACATGTACCGGTATAATGGTGTCAACTAGTAATATAACCCGTTTGTGCCCGTTAACGACCTAGTTCAGGTTAAAGGCATTTGTGCTGTCTCACTGCATTGTTTGTATTTTCTTTCCTCAGGCAATAAAAAAGGACGTGTCTCTGACAGGTGCAGGGGCAATATTTGGATGTTATGAGGTCGTCATGTTCTCCTGTTCCCTTATTATTGGTTCACAGGTACGAATGGTCGTTTAATTATGTTTTAGCCTGTTACATCTTTCTTTTTTATTAGCTTTGTGGTTACACCATTCGGTCAAATGTTTATTGAAATTAATCCAATTTCAAAGTGACTTTCAATAAGATATCATTTAGTTCTGCCAGCATTACAAAAATTAAAACACCAATTTCATCTCTTGAAAAAAACGTTGAAAATTACATTGTCTTTTTTTAATTAACTTAGAAGGTATTCAGAACAGAAGCTCCAAGGATGTATTGATCCACGGATCAAATATGGCAGACCCTACATAAAGAAAAACCGACCAATCCGCTGATGGTGTCCCCGCCTCCACACACGCCATTTAACGGATTAAATCACGGCTTCTGTAATTACTAGGCCCCTGCAAGGACGGCGCTTGTGGAGGTAGGGGAGATCATCAACGGATTAGTCGCCTCTTGTTTCACCTAGGGTCCGCCATATTTTATCCGTGGATCAGTATACCCTCGGACTTTCTGTTCTGAATGGCCTCTTATTTTGTTTCAGTTATCTCGCATTGGCTCTAGGCGTTGTTTCTACACAGGGACATTTGTAATTGGCGTGAGTTCGTTGTCCTTTGGGTGCGTAATTTTTTGTCGACGTGGAGCCTATTTCTGCGTTGTCTGAGGAGATGATTATCTTTGATTATTGATTGTTATAGTCATGTTATGAGCGTTAGTCTTTAATAACCCCTTTGTCAAGATTTACGCTATCCAAAACTGAAAAATACATGCAATTCTTCAACAGTTTGGATGTGTTATACCTTGTTGATGAAGCAAAAACGGAACAAAAAATTGAGAGAGAAACGTACATGTATGATCGTTTCATTTTTATGTAAATATTTAACACCCAAACATTTGTGTTTGTAATGTTTAAACTGCGTGTGGCTGTCTATCAGATCATGACCAAAGTATCAATAACATATTTCATTTGAATAAATTCTGTCGTTGAATAATTAGAAAAGAAAAAATTTAAATAATAAAATGCCATTTATGAATCTTACCTGTGTAAGGTATATTGTTTTAGTCTTTTAGGTACCTGCCCTCCCGGTGACACTTTTCTTGGGCTTGCTGTATCAATACGTATGATAGAATCATTGGGTGCGGCAATGATGTTAACGGCCAACTATGCCCTAGCAACAAAGGAGTTTAGAGATAACGTAGCAACAGCGTATGTAAGTAGATGAAAATCCTTAGTTCCGTATGATACTATTTGAAAATTAATTTAATGCAGCAAAAAAAAAAAAAAAAAAAAAAAAAAAAAAAAAAAAAAAAAAAAAAAGAAAAGAAAAAAATCATTGGGGATCGAATTTAAACATGTATGATAAATGTACTTAAAACTGAATACACAAGAAAAATATTTGCATATCTCAGAAAATCGAATGAATCGATGAAATTGAATTTCTTTTTATTGTTACATGTAAGTGATATCCTTACATTCTATTTCATCTTAGATTCCCTTTAGATTATGTTACATGCACCTTAGTTTTGACATTTCACTCTTCAGGGGTTCTTAGAAATGTGTGCAGGATTTGGTCACGTCTTCGGCCCCTTGGTCGGTGGCGGCCTCTATCAGCTGGGAGGGTTTGGCTTGCCGTTCTTCGTGACGGGACCAATGACCATTGTCATAGCATCTGTGGCCTTTTTTACTTTACCAAACGAAAACAAAGATGAAGGTAACTTGTCACATCAATATTTGTTGTCCAGTATTGGGAAATTTCCGCCGGTAAGAGTTGATAGCGCCTTTGTTTTCCTGAAATTACGGTCACATACATGTATACTGCCATAAATTACGGTCAATTTTTTAAGCAGACTACTTAATGCACATGTACCATAGGCAGCAAAGAAACCAAATGAGTAGGTTATTGAAGAAGTCGAAGGCACAATTAAGGCATCAAACGCTGACCATGGCTGATAATGGTATTAAAATAAAACAATTAGATAAATTAGTAATAAAAGTCAAAATAAATCGCAAGAAATAGTGGAACACGGAGGGAATATATTGGACAGCGTCACAGAATGAAGACGCATAGAAAACCCTAGAAATGTCGCAATTGACAGGGTAAAGACAGTTGAACCAGCATAATCGCCTTTAACGGTCCACAGGGAACCTGATGATGACATAAGTTTTTAAACAGTGTAATTAAAGGGCAATCAGTTCAAGTATTGCCTTCTTCCTCATATTTATCACTTCCAAATACTTTCATGTAACCTGCTCGACTTTTCATTCACAGAAAGGCCGTCAGACTATGGACAGCTCATAAAATTAGCAAAGATACCCGCCATACCTCTGGAACAACTGGCCGTTTGGGTAGAATTTTTTGGACTTTGTGCTTTAAGTCCCACACTAGGAGGTCATTTGCAAAATGTAAGATTTTTTAAATTATAAAGTCATTGCAACATATTTTTTTATAAAACTGCTTGCATTATTATGACTAAAGAGAAACGAAAGTTTTGTGAAATATATTCTCGATACCACGTCATTGCTTATTTTATTAGTTATGTCAACTTTGCGACGCTTATGTAAAGAAATTTGTATAAATGTTGCATTTGCAGGTAGATGCATCTATCCAAGGTAACCATATAATGATCGGCCTGGCGTTTGCTCTGTGTGGGATCTTTTACATGTGCTCAGTACCCTTGGTAGGCTTTATAACAGACAAATATGTGAGTAGCTATATATTTCTTTATTTCATTTATCTTTTTCTCCCTATCCTTTGTATTAAACTGCAGTATAATTGTACATCTGTTTGGCCAAAGCCACATAAAAAAGTTTTTCGAAATAAAATTAGACCGAAACAGACAATTAGAAATACGTAATTTAGTAAAACGTTTCGTTAAATTTGCTCAACACGGACATTTTGGGGAAAAGACCAAATTATCTTGTTGTTTTTTCTTTAAGTATGTTTTTGAAACAGTTACCTGGTGTGGAGAAAAACGTCACCCCGATAGTAAACCGACGATTTTCTCATTTAAAATAAATTTAAAATACTCTGGTATGCTCCGCTATGCTACATGTAAACTATGTTATGCCATGCCTTACCATACCGTATATACCACAATATAACATTACATACATTTACCATACCATACTAAACTATTAAAATATGTGTCACCCTTCCAGCGTTAATAAACATTGCTGCAAGGTTGCCCAAAGTTTTAATTTTTCTATCATATAAGAACTATAGGCAACCGATCGTCTTGAAAATTGAGTATGTGAGTGGCTATAGCACCATATTGAGCTACCTAGCGTTACCATTGAAACACAAAAACACCCAAGGCTGGGTTGTTCCATAAGAATCATTCAGAGGGTTGGACAGCATCATAATCAAACAGGCACGTGAGCCAGATTGCCTTGGTAATGAGGCCGACCGAAGGAAACCACATCCAGAGAAGAGAGACTATTAATACTCTTTTCTCTTAGAAAACGTTTTATGACGTTTCAGGAATTGACTGCAACATTTAACAACAATAGGGCAAACCATGTTTCTGCGTTTACCGTCAAAAGACGTCTGCACAAGCACCGTTATTTTGGCATTGTTTCTGTTAGGAGACCAGTGATCACTGCCAGGAACCACCTACGTCGAGTCAGATGGTATATCAGAACTCAGGCACAGACACCAGTCAATAACTGGATTATGACACTTTTCTTAGATGAAAACAGGTTAAGCGTTATCCGAATTTATGGACGCGTAAGGGTTTTGAGCACAGCTGCTAAGAAGTATCTTCCCAATTTTCTACTTCTGTCGACAGGATGCGTCTCCATATAAGTCATGCACGGGGTGTATTATTGGCTACTTAGGTTTGGGCGAGCTGGCAGTGGTCAGAATTTCTTTGGGGGCCATGACCACCCATTTATGTTCCAGAATGGTAATGCTACTCCAAGTACAGTCAATGCAACAATAGGCTGGTTGTATGCGAGCCAGACCCAGACCCCCTCCAATGGCCAATTCAACACAGAAACTCATTTAAAAGGTGTGGTTTATCCTATGTTCAAGCAGGGTCTTTCCTGCATGTAGCTAATGGGAAGTGTCGGGAGGGATAAAGGGGTTCGTTAATTAACATGCTTGGCGTAGCGACACTATTTTGAATCTGAAGTAAAAGTGGCACCCGTTTTACTTTATAGAATCACAGGAAGGTGATTATAGTCTCGGGACTCATCGTGACAGCTTTATCCTTTACTCTCATTGGACCCTGGGTGCCCCTGACTGAACTATTTCCAAACGACAAGGGGTAGGTATCAATGTCATTAATTTTATTTCATGACGACATCAATTTTGATTGAATTATACTGTTGCCAGGTGAAAATATTGTGAATCGACTTAGCTAATCGACGATTTTCCTAAGTGTACCTGTAGGTACCATTAAAGTTGGTAAAATGCGTTCTTACTAAAATAATTGTCCCGTAAAATCTATGACTCGATCTGAAACATCTACGATAAATCAAAAGCTGCTCTTAACTTTGGATTTCAGGGCAGCGTGGGCTGTTTTCTTGGGGAATTGTCTATGTGGGATTGGAACCGCCAGTATCACTGTAGCTGTCATGGCAGATTGTGTAAACGAAGCCGTGTAAGTTGAGACCTTATGCGGCATTCCGTATATTGAATATTATTATAATTTAC